CGCTTGGCTGACTGCGTGTTAGTACGTGTAAACGTGACAAGACATGATTTGTCGATGCCGCGCTGCAGCAGCTGAGCAGCATTGTGTAATTTTGCGGTTCTGAATTCAGTTCACTTATGACGTTGTCACATTACAGACAGTCTAAGCAGTCTTACAATGTCGGCGACAGCAGCGTACGTTATCGCTTATTGTTTTGGAAGGTGAAGACAGTCAGTGTATGTTGAAAGAATTATAGAATGTAATTGTAAACTAATGTATAGTTTCATTTCTCATTTATTTGTTAATTTAATTAGGATTTTTTGTCAATATACTTGGTTATGCTAAGTACTGCATAAGTTCATAACCAGGATGTCATCCAAGGTGTGCGCCAAACAAAATTTTCTAAAAACTTACTTTTCATTAAAGTTTAGAGTTTTCTGTTTATTTACATGACTAAGACCAACAATAAGTTATATAAAAATGCACTGGTATAATGTGTATGTGGTTGGTATTGCATATTTACATGAATAATGAATAAGGCCGATAGGTTGTATGAGAATGCAAATTAATTATTTGTAAAATTGTGAAGTGTACACCTTGATAAGTTTATCATCATCTGATCTTGGCATGATGCTATTTGCTACCTATGCTATACAGTACTATAGTTTTTGGATTCGTTTAATACTTTGTCTTTCGTACAGTAAATAAAGATTATAAAGTGTATGTTGAAACTTGAATGTAAACTAATGTTTAATTTCATTTGTTCATTTAATTATTTGTGTACACCTTGATCATCATCTATACCTTTTTGGAAAGCTCTATGTCTAAGCTACAAGACAACATATGCAAATTTCAGCTCTCTAGGTCTGTTTTTAAGGGTTTTAGAGCCCCCAAAAAAGCTAAATTTATATAATAAAAGTTAGCGGTTAGCGTTAGCTTAGGCTAATTTTTTTAACGGTTTAGCGTTAGCGAAGTTAACTTTTTAGTTAGCAGGTTAGCGAAGCTAACTTTTCGTTTAGCTGTGTCCACCACTGTTTTTCTGTGTATATGTTTTGCAAGTGTTTCTAACCACTGTCCACTTATTTTTCATGTAATTGCTTGTTTGTTGAAGATTCACTTATAAGTGGGACTTACGTCACTGGAATCGCTTGGTTTTGTTGTTGTTTCTGAATGTTGCGCCGATTCCGATTCTCGTATTCGTCTCACCGTTTTGCCACCAGTGAATTAGTTTTATATATCGCACACAAATATATATAATAGTTTTGGAACTCTTAAGTGACAGGGTTGACGTAAACACTTGTTCTGGGCTTTCTTTATTTCTGAAGCAGTTATTTACACGGGTTCTTAGTTTGGGAGAGAATGTATTGTGGATACGTGTCTTGAGTGTGCTTATATTTGAGAACACTTAAGTGAGGTGTGGTATCAGGACAATTGCCCCCCATTGCCCAGAAGTACTGTCTGTCAGGCAGGAAATCAAGAAGAAAGCTATTAACACCCAAGAGACTGTGCAGCAAATTATTACCCAAACAGTAGATCATATCAGAAGTTGCCTCTACACAACTACCACCTGTAAGACATTCCCATTCCATCAAACCTTGCTGACTTGGCTGCTCAGACCATGCTCCTTTGCCTATACCGTGCGTTGGTTCAGCTTAAACTCAATAATGGCTGAGCTGTATTTCTCCTCAACGCCATCTCGTTTGCACATTTTAGACTCTGTCCACAACGCTGGCATTTGTCTGGCTACTGGTGCTTATTGATCTTCCCTGATCCTCAGTCTGTGTGTGATGTGGGCGAGCCCCCTCTGGACCTACGATGAGAACAACTGACTGTACACTTTTACTAATGTGCTCCCTGGTTCCCTGTTTTATTTCACTTTCCCAACTTGACCTCCACCTTGAGTGTTGGCACCTACCGTCTATACTTCGTCCCTTTGGCTTCTATGCAGGGTATCTCGTTGACAAGCTAGGTCTATCTGAGTTTTTGACTGCAGTTTGTATACTCCGTTATTATTTTTCGGGAGTCCAGGGTGTTTATCTCCATGGCCACGTTTCATTGATCTTTTTGGATCATGCTGCTGAACACGGTAACTCTGTTACAGTCTTCACAGATGGGTCAAAGATGGATGCCAGGACAGGATATTCTGTGGTATCAAGGACTTTTATTGGTTGGTGTGTCCTGATTCCTGGTTGTGTCCTCATCCATGGTTAGGGGTGTGTCCTAATTATGGTTGTCTCCTGATTCATGGTTGAGTGTCCTGACTTGTGTCTGTTGTGGGTTTGTTGTTTTGACTAGTGGGTTTGCTGTCTTGACTGGTGGGTTTGTTGTCTGTGTGAGATATGTAGTTTAGACTCTTGGAAAACTTTCCAAGGATGTGCAGTAGTGTCTGTCTGTGCGAGATGTATAGTTTTACTCTTGGAAACTTGCTCCAGTGCTCGGAAAAATTCATGGAATGTGGGATTTTTTTTCAGAGATGAGAAATTTGTCTTGAGACCCAGAATTATCTCATTCCCAGAAGAGCTCTGCATCAATTATTCCAGCTAAAGAGGATATCACTGTATTATGTTTATTTACAATATATTGTGTTTGTTTAAATAAAACAGGCCCAGCACCAGTTAAGTCCCAAGGGTGTCGGACTAGTGTGTTTCGACCTGTTACCACAGACATTCATGGAAGAAGCTTATTGCATTTTTTATTTATTTCTGAAAAAAATTCATTGCGGATTACTCTTTGTTTACAATATATGAAATTTTTTGATGGCATAGGAAAGTTAATGTCAATTGTTTAATTGAAGAGTAAAAAATAAAATAATAAAAAAATTTATTAATTACAGTACACCAATACATTGATTATATACTATTACCGCCAAATCTTACCACTTGCTTAAAGTTTTGAAACTGATATGTGATAATCTTAAAACAAGTTTTTCAAGTCACATTCCGAAGATGTTTTACAGCATAACTCTCGCCGCACATTTCATAAAACTAGATGCATAGGAGTACTGTACTTATTTTTAAGTGAACTTAATTCCAATAAAACTCTGTACCTCAAAGACAGGAATGTTATTATCACAGGTAAATCAACCTAAACACCTCTCTCATTACAATAGTAAATATATTAACATAGGCACATAAAATGTCTTTTTGTGAAACAGACTTCCTAGATTAACAGAAGAGTATTTTAAATTCCAAGAAAACCTATTTCTAGTAATAAAAATCTGTAACAATGAAATTAATGAAGTTAGTAATCCTCTTGAAATAACTAAGCCATAGATTCTATTAGGCACACAATGCAATTAATGTTGAGCAAAATTAAAAAATAAGACTACTGTCTGACCTGCAAATTAATTTACAAGACAAGAAGTGTAATGTATGCCATAAGATATGCATGAAGACTAATTTCATGTAAGATCTATATATTTTATACTCATGGAAAACTAACATATAATAAGTGAAAGCAAATAGATCTTCATCAATTAAGAGTTAAAAATGATATTGTACATAAAAAAAAGAACTTATAATATTATGGATTTCTTTCATCAAAATATAATATAGCAATGTATCTTGTCATCTGCTTATAGTATTCAAACTGTCACTTTACTATTTACAATTACCTTTACTATTCTTACTCAGATGGCACAGCCCATAGTATGAAAGTGGGATACAACTGTGGAATGGATTGATTAGGGAAGTGTGCAAGCAGCTTGGGTGGATATTTCAAAAGTGTAAAGTAATACTGAAAGTTGTAAATCCAAGCAAAGTTCATAATTACTCACTGATTAGTTGAAAAGTTATACTTTTTCTCACATTCAGACCTGGGACACCTATGTACATTCTCCATTACACAGTACAATATGTCACCAATATAACTTTATTCATATCTTAACATAAGTTGCAAGAAAGGGTTCTTATTCACTCTTCTGTTGTCAATCTTAAGTAAAGTAACTGTAAATGGCAGTACACTGCATTTATAGTATTAGACCTGAGTTTGGTTTAAGATGCCATACACAACTGTGGGAGTATCACTCGTCATGGTGTGCAGACACACCTCAACTACGCAGAATCCAAAAATAGTTAACCTCTTCACTAAAACGTTATTTCATTAACTGGCAATTATTAAGCTGTTGCTTTGTTGTAATACTCTTATATTTTAATGTATTAATACACTGCCACCTTCCATATTGTACATTAGTATATTAAAACTAACATCACTTATGAAAAACACGGAAAAATGTCTTTACTACTGTAAAAAACAGGACAAATGTACTTTCCCTCTATTGTATTCAGCTTTACTTAGTTTTCAGTTTACAATTCACATATATTTTCCCATTAAAATACTTATCATTCGACTTTCTATTCAAAGCACCCTTTTCTTGACTACATATACAGTAACTACAGGAAATTTGGCAACTTCATCATGTTTAAACTCATCTTCAAAGATATTAATAAATGACAAACATTTAACTATCTACAAAAATTTATCATATTACCATTCAAAAAGATAAGAACAGTGCAAATTGAGTCAGCCTAATTTGAACAAAAGTTGCTTCCTTGATTCTAGCAAGAAGAAATATTTGACATGTTTTATCTGTGACCTAGAACAAGTCTAGAGCAAACAGGCACTGTAGTTATTAAAGACAACAATAGGTAAGCTTTTCAGATAGTGATGACTAATACAGGATGTAACTGACCAGTCATTGCAGACCTAACTACCTATTGTTGCCACAGAATTTATTTAACATTTAGTAAATTATATATATATATATATATATATATATATATATATATATATATATATATATATATATATATATATATATATATATATATATATATATATATATATATATATATATATATATATATATATCCTCAATGAAAACGTGGATAAGATAAATCTTGATAAAATCACACGGGAAAAGGGAAACAACGGAGCACCTTAGCTTTCATCTTTATTCAAGAGGTGCTCCGTTGTTTCCCTTTTCCCGTGTGATTCTATCAGGATATATATATATATATATATATATATATTTGCATGAATGGTTAACTATATTTGTAATCAATATATAGTGTAATGTGAACTAAATTCTTGAAAAAGTAACTGAGAATGTAGATCAATGCCGATTTATGCAGATAATAATGGTAAGTAAAAACTGAATGACAGAAAACTAAAATAATTACCTTGGTTTTAAAATGAACCACTTACTCAAATAAAAAAATACAAAAAACTCAGGTACCCTGTTGGTCATTATCCTGTGTTAAAGAAAGTGGATGTTCATGTGTGGGGGCTGATGACAGACTTGATGCTGCAGGAGTGAGGCCTTCAACTTGTCCATTAGATACACTGGTACTGCCAGATCCACAAACTTGATTTCGTACACTTGATAATGTTTCTATTACCTGAAATCAATAATTCAAAATACTGTATATACTATACAATACAGTACACAATATTAAGATACAGTAATCCCCTGAGTTATGGAAAGGATGCGCCCTTGAAAATTTGTCCATAACATGAAATTCCAAAATGTGAACCCCATTTTCCCATTGATTTCCATTATATAATTGGAAATGCATTTCCAAGGATATTTTTGAGGGCAAAAAGAAGTAATAAATGCACTTTTATGAATGAAAATTAAATTTTTTAAACACATACATTGATTATTTTATATTATAGTGAACCCTCAGAAATCCGGACTAAAAGGGGGGACCACCTGTCCAGAAAAGCCAATTGTCCGAATTTTCCAGCGAATAATAAGTGATACAAGAAACACCAAAAATACAGTACTAAAGTAGTGATAAACTCATAACTGTACATAAACAACGAATTTACCTATGATAACATAATAAGAAACATTGTATCATTACTAGAGTGAATGAAATAATATTCCTACAAACAACAATTGTCAACTCTGTTTATGTTTCCCACCTCCTCGGACACCTGTGTCCAAGCAACTGACGGGTCAAGCAGCGCCCACGGACCTAAAATGTTCTTTGCTCTGGTTTGGGAATGTTTCTTAGGGAAACTTCTTAGCCCAGAACCCCAAAAATTTTTATCTGGATCTTTGAGGGTTTACTGTAATATGATAATATATACAGTAGAGTCTCAGAGTACATGTATCCATTGTATGCAACCCCAAATAGGGAGGTACTACAGCCAGGGAAGATATTGGAACCATAATGTGTTGTCTATGGTAGACCCTGCTGCCACATGGCATCACAAAAATTGTGACCAAGTCCCAGGTTGCTGATTTGACTTTCTGCCTCATTTACCCATAATTGCAGGGTCTCAATTGTTTCTCTTACTATTGACAACACAACATACTGTACATATATTGCTTCTCACTTTTGATCTTTTTTTCATTTCTGTATTTCTTTATGGTTCTCTATTATTATTACTGTATTATTATTATTACATTTTCGCCCCCCAGGCACTGATGTGGGTCAGTGGCCTGTGCCCGGTTGGGCTAATCCCCCCCCCCCCAAAAGTGGCTTATACTGTACGAATCTGATGCTTTTGTCTTGCGTGAGCACACCCACCCACCATCTCTTATTAGCTCAGAGTGTTTATCACTCGTCCGTGTTCGTTTGAGAAAAAGAGTATATTTCGTTGGATAAGCCGACACTTGAATCATCAAAAATACACCCCAAAACCAGGGGTCGTCTTATAAGCCAGATACAAAATTCAAAATACAATGTGACCTAAAAATTTCTTACAAATTACCTTAATGATGTGGGTCAGCGAAAGTAACTAGGGTCGTCAATCTTGTAGGGTTTACAATATTTTTTCTCACTAAAATCCATATACTGTACCAATATGGTGTTAAACCAATTAAAGCATTGTTAACCCTTAGGTCCCGGGTGACGTTCCAGAACGTCTGACTGGCGCGCACCGGAAGACGTTCCAGAACATCCGCCTATTTTCCTGTCATTTTTTTTTATTTGCGGGAGGGCTGCCAGCAGCACCCTAACCCAGGTCTTAAGGGTTAAAAAAGAAATGCATTTAAAATTCATCAAATTCACTAGCTTCATCATCTGAAGCAGAGCTCGTCATCCACATCCCGAGTCTCCTTTACGTTGTCGTCTTTGGGGGTCCCAATCCGAATCTGGTGCATTGGCTTCAGATTCGTCGTCATGACCCACAAATGATCCTCCGACCATGGGTTTTAGCTTAGTGCTATAGACCATTCATGATACAGTAAAACCACCGTGAGCCTGCATCACTACGACACGTAGGTATGTAAACAATAGGGTCAGAGACCATGTACCATTTCCGAAGATAGTCTACCTATGGTATTTACCTTATTACAGTGACCCCTCGTTTAACAAACACCTCGGTTAACGTAATTTCGATCAACGAACTGCCTTCCATAAGGATCTTCAATTCGGTTAACGAAAAAAAATTCAGTTAACGAAGTTCTTACGAACCGACCTCAACATGTTTTCGCTTGCACTGACCGGGCAACCAGCTTTAGTATCAGTCCGCCAATACATTAATCGGTTCTAGGGCTTAAATTCCTTACTATTTTAGTAAATATCAAGAAGTTTATACTATTCAATAATTTTAAAAGTTTAATATTCAATTTTCTAGTCATTTTAACAATTATTGAACATAATTGAAGGTAAAGTGACTAGTTTAATGCGCGGCATCCAGCCTCTTAACACAGCAAACAGGAGTTAGTCTCTCTCTGTTTTCACTGGAGGTAACATCTTGCTTGAGACTCTCTTCAACTAAACGCTTTTTTTCTGTGTTTCCAAGCAAATTATTGGTCATTTTGAAATATATTTTACATATTGACAATATATAATGCAGTGCAGTGTTGATTTAAAATAATCTTGAATTACACCAGAGAGCTAAAATTTTATGGGTGAAATGGCGCCATGGGGTGACTTCTCTTCCACCCCAATGCCTTCTCTTCTTCCTTCTCCTCCACCCCCATTCTAAATCCCATCATCATCATCATCATCATCAGGAGCCTTCTACATACACACCTCAAAGTAAGTGAACTTTTCTACCATTTTTGTTGAATTTAGGAATTTTTCGGTGAGCTGGAACCAATTACCCAAAAACCCATTGAAACAATGGTTTTGGTTAACGAACTTTTCGATTAACGAACGACCTTCTGGAACGGATTGAGTTCGTTAACGGAGGGGTCACTGTATATGCCTCTCCGATAACACAATTCAATTGATTTATTGGTAATACATTAAACCAGTGGTTACCATACTTTTTTTACTCACTGCACACTTTAGAACAAGTAAAAATATTTTGGCACTCTTTGTACAAAAATTCGAAAATTTATTCAAAAGAGGTATTTATATATATTAGCATAGCATAAAGTAGACAATAAAAAATAGAAAAATTTTATGTACTTACTTCTTTATTCAATAAATGGAGCAAAGTTATCAATGAGAAACATGCGCTTGATGGTTTTTGGCAATGTTTTCAATGTTGGGACGTATTTGAGAAAGACAAACCCTCATTTCTTCTTCGATGCAACAAAGCCTCTCTCTTTTTTTTGGATCTGATGTTATTGAGGGTTGAAAATCCCAATTCACATAAATACGATGTGGAAAACTGCATCAAAACGGATAAAGCTTTTTTAGCTACTGAGGGGTATTCTTCTTTAATAGCAATCCAAAATGTATCAATAGGTAACTCAGCATGCTTGATTTTAAGTCCACGATCACTGGATATAGATGTCAATTCCTCTTTACATAATTTTAGACCAATATTAGATGGAATTTTTATGAAGGGATTTTGAACCCAATCATAATCTCCTGTGTTCAATGACGGAAAATAAAAGTTAATTTTTTCTTCCAGAATTGTCAAATGTTCAACTATAATAGGAGTCATTTCTTTTATGCAGCTTTTACGTATTAAGGGAAACATTTCAAAGTTACCATCTTTAGCTCTATTTTTCCAAATTACAACTTTCTTTTTAAATGAAACCAGCCTATCCGTCGAAGTGAGAATGTTTTCATCACTACCTTGCATACTTGTGTTGACGCTATTAAGTTGTGCAAATATCTCTGTTAAATATTCCAGCTTGGAAATCCAAAATTCGCATTAAAGATATTCACAGAAGCGTTCATTTGTTTCTTCTTCAAAAAAATACAAGTAATTCTTTCTGGAGTTCATGTATGCGACATGGCACCTCACCTCTTGAGAGCCTTCTGACTTATGGGTGTAAAATTAAGCGCTTGTGCTGGGAATCCATATCAACACAAATGTGTTCAAATAAGCGAGACTTCAATGGTCTACTTTTAATATAATTAACCATGTCAACAACTTGGTTTAATACTTGCTTTAATTCAACTTGTATTGTTTTTGAAACTAGTACCTCCCAATGTAGGAAGCAATGAGTACGTATTACATTAGGGTTTTGCTGTTGTACGAGCGATACAAAACCTTTAATACAGCCTACCATAGATGGTGCCCCATCAGTACATATTCCAACACGTGACTTCCATGATAAATTCCATTTTAAGAGGTAGGCAGATAAAATGTCAAAGATATCTTGACCTCTTGTAGTGAGTGACATTTCTTTGCAACAAAAGAACTGGTTTATGATTTGGTTTCCACCAATAAAGCGATTAAATGTAAGTAATTGTGCTTTGTTGCTAATGTCAGTAGATTCATCAACTTGTAAAGCAAATTCTGAGTTCTGAAGTTTGTTCTGTACATTTTCCTCTACATCAGCAGATAAATCCATAATTCTCCTATGGATTGTATTATCTGAGAGCGGAATTTTGCTTATCTCTTGTTCGGCTTCATCACCTAACATAGTTTTAACCATCTTTCTACAGGCGTCAAGATAATCAACTCAGCTACAGTATGCGATTTCCTTTGTAGTTCAATCATTTCGGCTATCTCAATAGAAGCGACTTGAGCCTTTTCAGAAACTGTAAACTTTTTCTGAAAATAGTTTCTTTGTTCGGATTGCTGTTCTAACAGTCTTTGGAAATAATTCGGATGTTTATCTTAAAGATGTGAGTGTTTAGTTGTAAAATGTCTCTTTAACTTGCTGGGTACCATGCCTTGTTAGACATCCTTTCACCCCAAACAACACACAGTGGGAGAGGTTGATCCTCGTTTCCGGTCCACTGAAGCCCAAACCTTAAACAGCTATCCCAATATTGACGATTAGTTAGAGCTTTTAAGCCTTATATCCACTAGGCTTGGTTGCTTTTTGTCGAGCGTTCACTTTCAGATTCTAATAAAGTCACTGTTATGTTCCTCTGAATAAACTTATCCATTTTATGGGTGAATTTGGTCAATTGAGTTCATCGCACAAAGAGCACAGCTGCTAACAAGGGTCAAGTATCAAAACTGAGACAAGTGAGCAGCATGTCTGCCTAATATTAATAACTTGATTCCTCAAAGCATTGTGAAGATA